CTCCCTGCGCGGCCCTCCCGCGCGGCCCCCTCCCACCGCGAGGAGGAGAAGAGGGAGAAGAAGAGCGAGAAGAGCCGAGTAAGTAGTCCTAGCTCTGAGAGACGCCATATCCAACGGGGTCATGGGCGGCGCCCTCCATCGACAAGCAGCTGCTAATATACCTATGCTAGGCGAGGAGGAAGAGGCAGAGAGAGAAGAAGAGTATGTCTTATCCTTAAAGCACACCTAATATACTAACGTACTTGTCAGAGGTGGCAAAGAAGGGTACGCTAGTGGCAAAATACGCAGGTGGCATATACTCAAATGGTGTTTAGCTGCGAGGGACGCCGTAGCCAATCCGGTAGCATCTTGTAAGTTTGTTAGCTGAGGCCCAGGAGGGTATCTATACCTAACAGATGGGGATAGTGAAGGAGGAGGCCGCCACCGCCGCCACCACCACCAACACCACCGTTGCCTCAGAGACAGACGGTGTTTTTATCAAGACCGAGCCTGAGGCTGAGGCTGGGGTGGACGGGGGCGAGGCTGGCAACTTCAGCCTCGGCGGCTGCCCAGTCACGAGGGTAAGTCGCCACACCCGCCAAGCCTATCACGTGACACTACGACTGGATGATTCGATTTTCAAAATTTTCTTTTCTCCAGACGCCTCCTCTCATTCATATCTTCGACATACAAATCTCGCTCTCGAGATTCTTTCTTGCCATTACTCACACTACTCTCAACTGACATTCACGCTCTTTGCAGGCGTAGAAACCTCTTTTCACAGTAAATTTCTGTGCATCACACCAAATTCAGCAACCAAATCAACCAACTCAACCAACTCAACCAAATCGCAATCATGGCCGACAAAGGTCTCGAAGAAGTCCCAGAGTCTCAAATCGAGTCAAACTACGATGAAGTCACCGATTCATTCGATGCCATGGGTCTCAAACCCGAACTTTTGCGCGGTATGTCGTCTCACCTAGCCGTCGACCCCCCTGGCCTCCTAGTCCCTCTCCTTGACCTCCAACCACTCCTACATGTCGTATAGATGCTAATTGCAACAGGAATTTACGCCTACGGCTTTGAACGTCCAAGCGCCATCCAGCAGCGTGCAATCATGCCGGTGATCAAAGGTACGTCGTCGTCGCGAAAATTTGGGTCAAAAACTGACTGAAAGCGAGCAGGATCGGACGTGATCGCCCAGGCGCAGTCCGGGACAGGAAAGACGGCTACCTTCAGCATCTCGTGCTTGCAAAAGATCGATCCCAACCTCAAAGCATGCCAGGCTCTGATCCTGGCGCCGACGCGTGAGCTGGCGCAGCAAATCCAAAAGGTGGTTGTGGCGATCGGAGACTTTATGAACGTGGAATGCCACGCATGCATCGGAGGAACAAATGTGCGCGAGGACATGAAGGCGCTTCAGGACGGCCCACAGGTGGTTGTCGGCACCCCTGGTCGTGTGCACGATATGATCCAGCGCCGGGTGTTGAAGACGGACAGCATGAAGATGTTCATTTTGGACGAGGCTGACGAGATGCTTTCGGTAAGTGCTTTTGCCACCACCACCATCACCACCTAGGGGATTGCTGACAGATTGCAGCGCGGATTCACCGAACAAATCTACGACATCTTCCAACTCCTTCCCCAATCCACTCAGGTCGTCCTCTTGTCCGCCACGATGCCCCAAGACGTTTTGGAGGTCACGACCAAATTCATGCGCGATCCGGTCCGCATCCTCGTCAAAAAGGCCGAGTTGACATTGGAGGGTATCAAACAGTTCTACATTGCGGTGGAAAAGGAAGAGTGGAAACTCGACACGCTGTCTGATCTCTACGAGACAGTGACCATCACACAAGCCGTCATCTTCTGCAACACGAGAAGAAAGGTCGACTGGCTCACCGACAAGCTCCAGGCTCGTGACTTCACAGTCTCTGCCATGCATGGTGACATGGAGCAGGCTCAGCGTGATGTGATCATGAAGGAGTTCCGATCAGGATCCTCGCGAGTGTTGATTGCCACCGATCTTTTGGCGCGTGGCATCGATGTGCAGCAAGTCTCACTGGTCATCAACTACGATCTCCCCGCCAACCGCGAAAACTACATCCATCGTATCGGACGTGGTGGTCGATTCGGCCGAAAAGGTGTTGCCATCAACTTTGTCACCGCCGACGATGTTCGCATGATGAGAGAAATCGAACAATTCTACAGCACTCAAATCGAAGAGATGCCAATGAACGTTGCTGGTATGTTGTTACCTCTGTCTTGATATCTACTCGGAAACTAACTTTTGTCCAGACCTCATCTAATCACTCTCATCGGGCATGTGGATGGCGTTTGTTCAGATGTAGCAACGACTCGAGAAAAGTGGGATGAAGCCTGTCTCCGACTGCTTGGCTCAATGTTGTCGCTCACGAAAAAAAGTCATGTTTTTCTTATCATGAGGACGGACACTATCAGAACGTGACGGTCGAATGTTGCTTATGTGGGCAGATTTCGCAGGCGTTTCTGCTTCTTAATGTTTAGCTGACAATTGTTGTTGGCTGTCGCTCAACAGATTCCAAAGTGCATTCTCATGTACAACGCAGGAATGATGGTTTCTCTTTGCTGCTTTGCGATAGATAGGTAGAAAATCAAAAGGTTCATTTACCACAAAACATGTCTTATGATCTTTGACGTGCAAGGGAGGAGAACTTGGCATAAGGTTTTCTTTTCTTCAGAGAAACCTTCATGTCGGTCAAACGCTCAAAATGCCCGTCACATCGCTTTCAGATCGAAAGATGACGGTCAACTACGCCATCGACTTACTTAGAGCCCATCAAATCCGTCGAGAAAATGTGTTCCTATATGAGCAGCTCCAGACGTGTGTCAAAGAGGTCGCAATGTTGCGTGAAGAGATACGAGATTCGACCCAACGGCAGACTGCCATCGAAAACAAGGTCAAGTCCATCAAGGTGCCCATTGACGACCACGCTACAAAAGCCTCTGCCATTCTCGAGAAGCAGGAAACTCGGCTCAACGACCAGGCTCGTGAGATACGGGCAGTGCGACAGTCGTGCAGGGCGTTGCAAACCGAGACTTCAGATATCAAGACGTCGTATCACGACGCACAAACGGCCCAGCAGACACAGATAGTAATTGTCGAGAAGCAGAGGGAAACCCTCGAGAATCTGCAAAGAGCTCTTGATGACAAGGCAGATACCGCACTTGTCAAAGTGTTGGAAAGTCGCGTGAACAAACTCTGGAGTGATCAAAATGCTGGCATTGTTGTAATAGACTCAGTCAGCCACGTTTCAGAGACTGCAGAGCGTATGAGCCCTATTTATGAGCTAGGTACATATCGCTCACAAGAAACTGCTGACCTCTTTGCAGATGAATCGGTCCAGGTTCGGGATTCCCTCCCTGACCGTTCTGAACCTCAGCAGGCTCGAGAGATGACACTCCCAAACGATCTCGACCTCGACGCCAATGCTCACACGATCAGCTATGCTGGATATGAGTGCCGCGCAGCGGAGCCGTCCCTCAGAATGTTGTCACCACTCCCCATAGAGGCGTCGCGGCTCGCCGAGATCAAGACCCTCCGGCAGAGAAGATTTGACAGCTGGGACCATTACTACGACCAAGGTCAGGAACTCGTCCAAGCCTTGCCGCAGGACTTTGAAGAGACAATCATACACCATTTTGTGGAGGGACTCTATCACAACACCCATAGAAAACAGTGTCAGCAGTGGCTCGACTCGAGTGGATGGACTTGGGCCAACGTTACCGTCTTTGGAAATCTATGCTCACAACTTCTTGCCAACGACACATCGGTGGAAACTTCGCGTCCGAGACAGACAGACGCAGGGCTTGCTACAGTCGGTAAGTCAGGACAGCGTGTCGATGGCGTCAGCAAGGAGGCGAAAAACGGCAAAGTACCACGAGACACTGCCGATGCACCGCTGCGGCGAAGCCAACGCGTGGCCGAGAAACAAAACCTCCAAACGCAGACGGAAAAAAGGCACGAAGTCGAATCAAACAGAGGTCCGCCGGCTCACAGGACACGACAGGACATCACTCAGGGATCGAGGCTCAAGACCGATCCTGGCAAGGTCCCCGATGAGGCGCAGAGACAGCAGCAGGCTGTCGACGCCACGGAACCGCGAGCGCCGCCTCAGAAATCTGCAAAGGTGACTGTAACCCTCCAGGAGACGGGCCCCGCAAAAAGCACGACCGTCTCAGCAAAGCGTCGCGAAAGCCACAAGAGGAGAGCCGTCGTCAACGAAATTGATCAGCCAGCAAAGCGACCGAAGCCTCGCCCGACAGCGCCTCCAAACCATCACATCTCCCCCAAACTTGTGTCATTTCGCGAACAAAATGCAGAGTCAATGGAAGAAAGCAGCAATGACGAGGGGTTTCTGCACAATGACCCCAAGCCTTCAGTTCCCACGAGAGTACGTCAACGGGCAGGGCACAGAAAGAGAGGACTACCTCTGCCGCCGCCACCAGAGATCCCTATTCTACCTACCACAGACGAAGAGTAGCTGGCCGAACTCAGTCACTGCGCAATACCTCTTGCACGGGTAGATGGCATGGAAAACATTCAATGGCGCTGATGATTGAGGAGGCCGGGCATCCACTTTATAACTGGTCATAACTTTTTGGAAGTTTCAAGTCTCCTTGAAGATATATCCATCTTCGGACTCGTCATCCACGACATCGACATTGATCTTGGCCTCGACCACTTCAAGTCCATCCGCCTCCAGACCGCATTCCACCCTATCTCCACCTTTGAGCGGCCCGACGCCTTTCGGAGTTCCTGTCAAGATAATGTCGCCTTCTTCGAGAGCCATGACCTTGCTGATGTCGCTCAGCATCCTGGGGATATTGAACAACATCAAGTTGGAGTTATCTTTTTGCTTGACCTCGCCGTTGACCTTCAGCCACAGCAGCACATTGTGAGGATCTGGGATGCGGTCAAAGGGGATCTCGTGGCTGATAGGCAGGAAGGTATCGAAACCCTTGGCGATAGACCAGGGAAGACCCTTCTTCTTTGCTTCATCCTGTACATTTCGAGCAGTCACATCGATACCCAGGAAATAGCACTTGATGTGGTCGAGGAACCGGGAATCGTCCGCTTGCAAATTCTTCAGCGGGGTCGGTGTTTCTCCAATAACCAGGCCAAGCTCAACCTCATGGTGCAGATTCACACCGCGAGGGCGGATGATAGGACCTTTGTCTGGTAGGAGGATAGAGGACGGTGGCTTGAGGAAGAAGAAAGGCTGTGCCGGACGCGCAGATGACAACTCGGTTATATGATCACTACACCAGAGCATGTCAGTATTTCAAAGTTGCACCGCTGAGAGGCGGGAGAGTGCATACGCATAGTTTCGCCCAATGCAGATGACCTTGCGACAATTTGCCTTGATGGAGGCCATGGAGGGCACCTTGCAATGCTGTATACCTAAGCCGCCGAGAGGGTGGTTGAAAGCAAACTTACTAGTCACAAACAAGGTCTACACCATAGCCTTGAACATTGAAAACATCTGAGGTCTTCCCCTCAGTCTCCACTGTCGACCATCCGTCAGTGTGGGAATTGTGTGCCTTGCATGACTGGTCAATCTGGAGGGCATCGGTAACTTTCGGACGGGCCATCAAGAGGGGGGGAGATGTTGGCAAAAACATTCATCCATTGTGCTTGCTGTGCACACCCTCACATCATTTGCCTTCCCTCGGTGTGTTCCTTTCCCATCTCTTTCTTTCCTGTCCATTCCGCCGACTGTGTGCGAGTATGTTCGAGACGGTGCGCGGGTAAAGGAGATGATAGATCTCGCTGCTTTCGCCACCGCAGGTGATAGGTGACAAACTCTCAAGGGGCGGCTAAAGCGGCGATTGGTTAAACCAGTGCTCTTACTTTTGTGCTTGAGTAAATATCGAACATTGCTGGACGAATGCTCATCAATCTACCATCTTCGCCCTCGTCTGCTTCTCATTCGCTTCAACTGCGGCTGCTACCCACACCTGTAGGGCTTGAGGTCTCCAAGGTCCCCTTGACTGGTTCGTATTATGTATACTATGACACCAAGAATCTCGCCCCTCATCCAACAAGACCAACCAAAACAATTCCGAGATTGAAAAGGTCTTCCTCGTCACCTCGCAGCAAGGCTGAAGGACCACCTCTGCAAGGGACAAGGTCGCCTCCGCTCCATTTTTATCAGATCATGTCGGAGCCTGCGCAAACCTCACCATCAAGATCTTCTGTAATTGACGCAAAGCGACTGGATTTTATCCACATGCTAATTCAAGCCGAGTTCGGGAAGTAATAACATGGTTAGATCAACACGTCCATTCGGAGTGGTCAAGCTCAGTCGAGATATCCGGCGGCTTTAGTTGTACGATGGCCGCGAGGTTTTCTCTGACAATAGCATCAGCATTGCTCGTACAACGAGCAATCAATTCCTTACGCCGTTCGTCATCCTCGAAGTCGAGGGGAAAAAAATTTCTCTACGAACATGCTCCAAAGTATCCTTCGATGCCGTGCTCCACGACGATCAAAGTGACGTTTGCCAATGGCACGCAGTTGTGGCAGTCTACCAAAAACCGGCCCCATCTTGTCCATACCTCTGTCTATTTCCCTACCCGGCAGTGTCATATACAGCCTTGAACGGAATGTGTCTACTACCTTTCTAAAACGCGATTAAGAGGGCCTGCGGGTCGAGGGAACAAAAAGGTGACAGCTTGACAGCAGTCATCGGAAATGCCAAATAGGCCCGGCGGCTTACTAATTTTTTCGCAGTAAAGTCGGAGGACCTAGCTGCATTGCATTGTGCCATGGCCCAATACCGCGGTATCTGACGCAACTCGGGATTGTGGCATCAAACGATGCAGTTAAGAAATGACCCTCTTTCCATGGCTAACCGGGGCTGTCCTAGAGAATTTGGAAAAGAGAACGGCGGCGTGGACGATATTGCGGACGATGTTGTACGATTTGACATTCCAAAATGGCGGGTACTGAGGGCAGCACGGGAAGAGGGGCGCGACGCTAGGCTGAATGATCTGGGACTACGAGGAGGAACGTATCCGAGAAAAACTCCAGAAGGGTACAAGCTTGCTCAGGTCTGGTTGGTTCGCGTGCTGGCGGAGCGATATGGGTCCAGCTTCAGACAGCACCACTCACAGCGCAAGCTCCAACCCCGGTCGCCTGCATGCCGGCAGGCCCGTTTACAAACCCCTGCCAGGCAATACTCGTACTCGAAGGCGTTTCCGCAGGGGTCCTGCGGTACGGTCCCATTGAGTCTTTATGTCGACCACTATCAGACCTCGATCTGTCGCTCCCGTGCCTTTACGAGGTTGCTTCGATCTCACACCTACGACAATGGAAGCATCCTTGGCTTTCGATCGATTAGGCTTACTCCTTTCCCTGTCGGGCTTCATTCGGAAGAAGATCAGAGATGCGCAAAGTAGATATGTCCTGCGGTTCCCTGTCGTTACCGTGGACATGCATTATGGAACTTGTACCATGCATACCACACAATGTCGACGCGACGAGGAAGAGGACGACCTGGTGGCACTAACCCAGATTTCCTTTGGGTCAACCGGACCCCAGACTCTGAGAGACTCTCCGCCACCCGACAAGAGAGAGAGGAACTTCGAACCATTACTAGCCATGCTCGTCAATGGCGGGCTGCACTGCGACGTCAACAGAGGCTCTACAGTGCTCAAACTGAGGCAACTCACGCGCAGAGCATCGTGGGCTGGGGAAGGCAAGGCAACCTCTCCGAGACCAGCTCCGCCGAGACATCTGCGGCTCCTTCACCTGCCGCAATGACACAGATCACAGGAAATTCAACTGATCCATTCACCTATCTCGAGTCGCCGGACGATGCGTGGTGGTCGCACAACGCGTTCAGGTACGCCATCGACTCGTGGCTGCCGTCAGTGTTCCGAGACTTGGACGTGCTGGATGAGGCAATATCAAGCTCTGAATCCTGTCTCGCGACCATCGATCGAATTGTCCAGGGTTGCCTTGAAAACAGGATGCACATGTTCTCGCTGCTCGCCGCAAGCACAGGATTCTTAAAGTACGTGTTGCGGCTTCAGCTTGACCGACGTGACTCCCCCGAATATTGTATGGGCAAAGCTCTTCAGCATCTGCGACACCATCTGGCCGGTGCACCACAACCTAACGAGAGTCTTATATTTGATCTCAAAGCGCTGTCGACGTTTGAAAGATACGTGGACAATTTTGAGGGAGCTAGGACACACCTACGGATGGTTCAGCACCTTGTTCAGTCAGTCGGAGGGCTTGAGATTCTGGAACCGCCTATGCGCCTGGTATGCTGGCTGTGGGATCTGTTGGTAGCTGGTGGAACTGGGGAGAACCCCTTGATGCCTCTTACCTGGGATCCTGGTATGCTTCCACGCCAGCAAATGCGAGACGAGATACTTCCAGCTCTGGCTCAGAGCGGAATCATCCCCAGTGGCGCCGGTCTGCTTCAGTACGGATCATTGGTACAAGATGAATTGTCGCCCATCCTTGTCGACGCGATACAGTGGTTCCAAGTGCAGCAATACAACCGAATCCACAATTTCAGCCGATCTCCTATTGAGCAATGGGCTACGAGAAGAGCATATGCCATCGTCCATCGACTACTTTCCATGGCACCGAGTTCTCCAGGAGACAGATTGCAGGGCTTGCTGTCGGAGTGCGTCAAGCAGAGCTTCCTGATCGTCACAGCGGACGCCGAAGCTGCGAGGAGATCTCGAGTACAGACTGAATCGCCCAGAAATCCTACTAATTACTCCTGGTCTGATGTTGGTCGCCTTCGCCAGGCGCTCTCTGCACTCGTGGAATCGGAGGAAAACTGGCAAGAACAACACGAGGAAATCGTCCTTTGGATGGCGTGTCTAGGTGTCCAGGCTACATCGACAACTATGCTTGAGTCGATTGCGCAACATGAACAGACAGCGCAAGCAGCAGCAGCAGGCCCCTCGGCGCCACCGCCCAGCGAAGAGGCAAGCCCTCGAGAGTGGCTCCTCGGATTAGCGAGGCACATATTCTTCGAGCGGCGGAACCGAAATGGTGCATTGTCTTCGCATCCGCCTGCAGATGACGACCTAGTACAACTCATGAGCCGCTACCTCCATAAATGCGAACCATCCGGACGGCCAGATATCATGGGGCTCGAAGAAGTGCTATCTCCGTGATTGAACCTTCGCGGCACACCACACAGACTTTCTTCAGTGAGCGTGGTTGATCAGCAGGACATCGCGGCCATCTGTCACCATCTCGCTGGGCTCCTCTTCTCTCCACTCCCATCCCGCTTAGGGGCGAAGGGAGGCAACAAGGGAGGTGAGGAAGGAATGGGAACCTGCCAGCCTGCCAAGCAACAATCTGCGCGATAATATGCCAATACCAACGATGTACGAATCCGTACCTACGTGCCTACTTAGGTAATATTCCTAAATGGAGGTATTTAACCCTATTAGGAATGGTTTGGATGCACGCCTCGTCTGTGGCTGTGTCCAATCCCTCGTCTTCGCAGATCCCTCGCTACGGGCGACTTGCGGGAGCAATTATGGATTCTGAGAACTAGACGAAACCGACCTTATCATGTATCCAACATCAAACACCGAGGATCAAGAAACACAGAAACCGGGCAGACTAGAGAGGACCAAGAACATCCTAAACAGAAAACAGAATATACCCCCATCCTGTGTGATACCCGTGGCGGAGCCGCATGTACGACTAAAAAAGCCCCCCAGAAGAATGAACTTGTTTCAATCATTTCTCTGTTCTATCCATATCTTTTCCACCACGTCCGAGTCTAGCGCGGACCCAACAAGCAACCGAAGCAGCCAGAAAAGGAAAGCCACTAAGAGCCGGGGCATGCTCGACATCTGTGGTACCTGCGATGAAGTCAATAAATATCATGCCGCTAACGATCGTGGATCCATGTGTGGACGAGAACATGGACATGGTGATCAGATCGAGATGGGACACGGAAAGACATGGACAAGGATGCTCATAATGATGCTCATGATGATGATGATGATGATGATGATGATGATGATGATGATGATGATGATGATGATGATGATGATGATGATGATGATGATGATGATGATGATGATGATGATGATGATGATGATGATGATGATGACGACGACGCAATGATAATGAAGTCTTTAGTTTTTTTCCCCCCACATGCTTGATGAGAAGACGAAAGACGCAAGACGGGAGACAGCAGATGGGAGCCACAAGCCCACAAAAAGCACACTTGATTTGTTTCGACTTGACTTGAATTGACTCGTATCCGTTTATGGAACGAGTATGTATTAAAATGTATTATGTATTAGCGAGATCGATGGATAGATTGATTATGTACCACTATATTGTCATGAATACTGATTACGATAGGTAGACAGATGAAACAAA